AGTTGAACGATGCCCTCCCGGCGCGAGGCGGGCGAGAAAACGGGAATGCGTCTCTCGAAGTCGGCACGAGTTGGAGAGAGACAGCAGGAGGTGGTCCTCCTGGTCCGGCGGCACACCGCCGCCAACTCTGCGGCTGGGCTGGCCGAGTTAGTTTGGCCGCCGAGGAGCGTTTGGCTGATCTCCAGGTCCAGGAGGTGGCGGGGCGAGGACGGACGGGAGCGGACGGCCAGCAGGGCGGCTAGCAGGGCGACCAGCAGGGCGGCCAGCAGGGCAGCCAGTAGGGCGACCAGCAGGCCCATTTAAAAGCACGCACATTATTTCATATTGCGGACGAACCTCGTTAGGGCGGCGCAGTGTTCCGTGAAATTGCCCGCCTGCTGTCCCCGCCGCCCCGCCCAGCCCCGCCCGGCCGCCTGTCTGTACCGCTCTTCGACTGGCCGCTTGTTTGAGCGGGGGAGGGATCGCGCCCTATAGCTGCTGTTGCGAAAGGGGGAGGGGTAGACGTGCGGCGGCGGTTTCTGCGAATTCGGCTGAAACGTAGTCGAAGTTACAAAACTAATTAATATTCCGGTCGAGGGAGTGTCTCCACGCCAGCTGCTTCCTCGACCTTTTTGTATTTGAACACTTCGATAGAGGGACAGGAAAAGTCGCGGAATAGTCGGCGCCGCGGGCGTCATCAGAAATGGAGTGACGTTGTGACTACTGACTGGAGGATCCTCACGGAAGAAAAGACGGGCACAACTTGACACACTTTCCTTGAACGCAAGTATTGTTAAGGTGCTATTCTCGGTGAGGAACAACAACGAAGCTCAAGGCAAGAGCAATCTAATGCGATGACGTTGTTATTGGATTGTTTTTGCAATAAAAGTCATCGCAATTGGATTTCTAATAATGATCCCTTTGTGAAATGTATTGCATTTTATTTTCAATGACGATTTATCGCATACTGGGAGCGATGACTAATGGGAATCGCAAAACAGCAGTATCGCAATCGCGATTCCATGCATTGATTGCCTACTCAATACAAAACGATTTCATTAACAGTGTGCTGTTCCCGACTGACACGAGTCCGCCACGAGCCACATACAGCGCTTACTCGTCGTATAACCTCTATGCCGACCGAAGAAAGAAGCGCAGGATGAAAAAGAGCGTAATTTCTGACGTCAAACGATGCGACAACACGAAGTGCGGCCTACTCTCTTAAGGACTATCGGCCCCAGGGGAGCAGGGTGACACCAGCAAGCAGGACCCCCGCCCTGCCAGGACGGTTCATTGACTCGCAGGAAAGAGCACAAGGCTCGCCCGCCCCGCCCGGCCCCGCCCCGCCCTCACTCGGGCCGCCATAAAGCGGAACCTCGTCTAGGCGGGGGCGGGGCGGGCCGCGCCAAAGAGGCTCGCGCGGAGATCACGAGGGCGGCAGGGAATGGCGCAGTAAAGGCCGAGTTTCGGCTGCCGAGGTGACTTGAACCCCAGGGGCAGGTGGCGCGTCCGTGAGCCATGCCGTGTCTGCAGCACAACAAAGACCG